ATACTAACATTACCACATACTCACCCAATAATCAAAAAATAAATTGGAAACAATGCGTTTGTTGCTTCACATACATGCACGACATCACATTTGTAATCACTGGTACCCCATATCCTAGAAATAATAGCATCACTCGACACCCAATTAATAACACAAACATTAACTACAACACTAACTAAAACAACATGTGTATGCCACTTTGTATACACGCACAACATCACAATTGCAAACCCTGTTAACAACATCACCTAATGTCCACAACACGTAGCATTTGAACAACATCCAATTTTCAATCATCGACTTCCATGTCTTATTTTCCCACAAATATTCAATGTAACATTGACAAGAACCCATACCTATTGTCATCGCACTAGCACACGGTCAACGATGCCTCCGACGGACTGACGTGAGGTCACCGGTATTCCACCGACAATGTTAATCGTAGACCAAAATACCCCCCTCCCCACACCATTTCGCAGATGTAACATTGGTAGAAAGGGTTTTCTAAATGTTAGGGTTTTGATGGGATTCTGTAATGTTATTTAAGAAAATGAAATTGAAAAAATGCAACATTGCCAAATCTAACATCCTACTCACACAGAAATGAAGATCAACAATGCAACATCTACTATAGAAACGTTGTTGTTCCAACCGACGCGTTGTTCGCAATAGAGGGAAAAAGCCTATAGTAAGCTTTTGGGCAATTTGGTAACTACAACATCACTAAATTCCCAATTTACCCTTTCCAAACAACCTTACATCACGTGCCATTCGAGGGCTAAAACGAAAATACCATTGAATTGGGATCTTTCAGTCTTTCAAATAAATTACAGGGTCATATGGTTCAAAATGTTCGAACTTGGGATTTATTGGTTTTTTCCCGAAAAAATATTGTGTTCTTCCTTTCTTTTCTTTCTTTTGTTTTTGTTTTTTTTTCCCTTTTTCCTCTCTCAAAAATACTTGTTAAAAGCAAATTTGATGAGCAAATGATCAAAAATCATTTTCAATTATGTCATCAAATGTTGATCGAGTCAAAAGAGAGTTATTTTTTGAGAAAATAACCAACAAGTCTTTTGATTTTAAGATTATTATCAAGTCCTATCAAATTTTAATATGGACAATTAAGTCATATTTTTCATGAAATATTTTCAAAAAGTTCATTACTCCATAATGGTGGAAGTTATCTCAATTTTATCTCTCATTTAATAATATTTTTAATCTAAGTAAAATAATATTTTTTAATTATAAAAAATTTGATATTGTATTAAAAAATTAGAAATCACAATGAAAAAATTATCAAAAAGTTCTATTTAGTTTTAAAAATTAATATTGGGTTATATCAAATTTAAATATTAACATATAAATCTTATGTTTTTTTTATTATTATAAATTGTTATACGTTAAAAAATTCAATTTTTCGTAAGAGTACATTTTATTTTCATTTTATCTTTCTCATTAAAATATGAACAAAAAAAATTCATAACTATTTTTAATTTATTAGAAATTTTATAATTAAATTATTTTTAATTGTTCAAATTAAATGATTTTTCATTAAAAAAAATTATAAGTATAAGATTAATAATTTTTACAATTACAATTACAATTTTAAATTTTAATTAAGTTAAACTTTTTATAAAATTGTTGCTTATATTAAATAGGAAGGGAAAAATTGGGATAAGGCCCACCACTATGGATCAATGAATCTTTTGGGAACCTTTTATAACAAATAAGAGTTAGTTGGCCATATTAAAGTTTGATAGGACTCGTTAGTAAAATTAAGAGAAAAACAGGACTTATTGGTTATTTTTCTTTATTTTTTTCATCAAACTGAAAACTTATCAATTCCTTTATCAAACTTAATTTGATGAATATTTTAAAAAATGAAGCATTAGAGAAATTCTTTTTCATCAAATTTAATGAGAAGTGAAATTGGATAAATTTTTTTTTTATTAAAAAAAAAAAAAAAAAAAAACTTTGATGAAAGAATTGGAGTAGTTAACTGAATCCCAAACAAACTCTGAGAGTTTGGCAAAACGTGAGGCCAATCCTCTCAAACTGATGTACATCATGCACATGGGTTGGGCCAGGCCTAAAGTTTTGTATTGTAAAACCTGTTTAATCTAATTGGGCCTATCTTGAAGCCTTCAACCAAGTGTTCAATCCATTCCATCTCCGTCGACTCCAATTTTTGTACAATTTGTGGTAGCTATCCACCATAATTCTCTAATTTTCTCTACTACTAGTAATTAAGATTCGTATTAGAGTACAATTCTTATCGTTTTGTTTGTGACTTTTAATTGAAATTGTTTTTTTTTTATTTTAAAAAAAATATAAGTAAGAGTATATGCTAGATGGGCTTAGATTATGTCCTCTTTTTTTTCGTTTTTCTTTTTTCCTTCTTTCTTTCTTTTTTGTATATTGGAGGAAGAGAGAAATAGTCGAATCAGCGATCTCTTACGCTGTGTTTGGTTGGAGGATTTGAGGAGGGATTTGGAAAGGGAAAGGGAAAAGTTAGGTGAAATGTGAATAAAATGTACCTACATTTCACCTAGTTTCACACACCTTTTCCCTTTCTCATTCCAAATCCCTTCCCAAATCTCCGAACCAAACACAGCATTAGTAAAATAGTCGGACATTGGACTAATCTCAGTGGCATATGACGAGATTTAGAAACTCAAAATTTAGTTAGTTGGCTTGAAACGGATTGACAAGAAGGCTAACCATCATATTTCAACTTTCAATTTGGAATTGGAGATTTGTGTTGTGTTTTGATTGGGGTATTTGAGAAGGAATTTGAAAAGAAAAATAGAAAAGATAGGTGAAATGTGAATAAAATATGCCTATATTTCATCTAATTTCACATACCTTTTCCCTCTCCCTTTCCAAATCCCTCAACCAAACATAACCTTGAAGAGAAAAAAAGTAGAAAAGAAAATTTCTCATCTTAAATCACCAATGAGGATGGCTTAAAGAAGAAAGAAATGGAGAAAAATATATTTTAATCTTAAAACTTACTTTTTATAGACACTCCAAAATTAAAGAGAAAAGCTACGGTGTTAATTAGCAATTTTGCCTTGACTTTTCACAAAAAGTAATTTCCCTTTTTCCTTTTTGAAGTCAAGTTTAAGAGTTTTTTTTTTTTTTTTTTTTTTTTTTTTTTTGTACATGATTAATGTGAATTATTTAATTAGGTGCATTAATCTAAATTATCTAATTGGGAGCATTAATCTAAATTATCTAATTGGGTGCATTCATGTGAATTATTTAATTAGGTGCATTAATCTAAATTATCTAATTGGGAGCATTAACCTAAATTATCTAATTGGGTGCATTCATGTGAATTATTTAATTAGGTGCATTAATCTAAATTATCTAATTGGGAGCATTAATCTAAATTATCTAATTGGGTGCATTCATGTGAATTATTTAATTAGGTGCATTAATCTAAATTATCTAATTGGGAGCATTAATCTAAATTATCTAATTGGGTGCATTCATGTGAATTATTTAATTAGGTGCATTAATCTAAATTATCTAATTGGGAGCATTAATCTAAATTATCTAATTGGGTGCATTCATGTGAATTATTTAATTAGGTGCATTAATCTAAATTATCTAATTGGGAGCATTAATCTAAATTATCTAATTGGGTGCATTCATGTGAATTATTTAATTAGGTGCATTAATCTAAATTATCTAATTGGGAGCATTAATCTAAATTATCTAATTGGGTGCATTCATGTGAATTATTTAATTAGGTGCATTAATCTAAATTATCTAATTGGGAGCATTAATCTAAATTATCTAATTGGGTGCATTCATGTGAATTATTTAATTAGGTGCATTAATCTAAATTATCTAATTGGGAGCATTAATCTAAATTATCTAATTGGGTGCATTCATGTGAATTATTTAATTAGGTGCATTAATCTAAATTATCTAATTGGGAGCATTAATCTAAATTATCTAATTGGGTGCATTCATGTGAATTATTTAATTAGGTGCATTAATCTAAATTATCTAATTGGGAGCATTAATCTAAATTATCTAATTGGGTGCATTCATGTGAATTATTTAATTAGGTGCATTAATCTAAATTATCTAATTGGGAGCATTAATCTAAATTATCTAATTGGGTGCATTCATGTGAATTATTTAATTAGGTGCATTAATCTAAATTATCTAATTGGGAGCATTAATCTAAATTATCTAATTGGGTGCATTCATGTGAATTATTTAATTAGGTGCATTAATCTAAATTATCTAATTGGGAGCATTAATCTAAATTATCTAATTGGGTGCATTCATGTGAATTATTTAATTAGGTGCATTAATCTAAATTATATATATATATATATATATATATTCGTTGCTTAAACACAGAAGTATGATCATTTAACAACTTGTTTTGTAAATAATAAAATTAACATTAAATGCTTCAGTTAAAGCTCAACAAGAAATAAATAGTTGACAGAAAAGTAAAAAATAATTTGATTGAATTAGCTGAACAATAAATCAAAGCATTAAATACTTTGGCAATACAGCTATGGCTGACATCAAAACACTCAAATTAGTTTGATAATTGAATCAACACATTGACGCCTCTAATGGGAAACCTATTTTTAAGGTTTTCTTGTGATGACATCTATCACTTTGCTTTGCCAATTTTATAATTTAGGATTGGGCACCTCATTGGTGCATCTAGGTTGACCAATGTCTCTTTGATTATTACTTCTACGTATGTGCTTCAATTATTATGTATAATTTATATATATACACACCTATAAATAAATGATAAGAAAATTAATGGGATTAAAAAATATAATGGGACAAATGAAAACGTTTCAATGAGTTCTCAAAATTTCTTCTCCTGATTTGATTTGTTGGTGTAACAAAACTTTCATATAAAGTGTGCTTCTTCAATAGTAGAGACGACATAATCAACTCGAATGAGCATTCTGTCAAAATGGGCAAAAATTAATGAATTAAAATAAATCATGATGTTATAAAGCGGCGGGACATGCGATTGGAGGGAAGAGGCAAGCGGTGAAAGAAACTGAGAAGAGGTCGTGGGAAAGGATTGAGTGAGGAAGAACTGGTGGCGATCAAGTAAGAGTGAGTGAGAGGTTGCTAACACTAGAGCCAAAATTAGTTTGTAGGTAAATGGGTCATTTTACAAACTATTTTCACTAATTTGTATTTCTTTTATACAATTTTTCATCACTATTATAATTATTTTCATCTCTAAAATAATTAGTTTCTCTATTTTCTAATAATTTTGGTAATTTTCTAATAAATCTATAGCAGGTTGTTCATAAAAATATACATAAAATGAAAAAAAGAAACAAAAAAAATAGAGAGGAGATAGGATACGGACTAGGAGATTGCGTGACCACATAGGCCGCACCACCAAAATCACACGTTCCACTCCCACGTGCCTTCATCTGATAAAAACTGTTGAATGCATACGATGCATGCGCCACCACACTATTCGGATCATAACAAGTGGCACCCTTCTGAATCGGACGACAATCAGCCCCTCCTTGACCACAAGCATAATCAAGCGCTGCCTGCAACTTTTCCACCCCAACATTCCCATTTGCCACACACCAGGTTTGTCCCGCCGCACTGGCCGACACATCACCACTAGGCGTTGGAGATGTCGCCACCTGGGATTTACTTCCATTGATCGGTGTTGACTGCACCCCGTTTAGAGCCTGCACATAGGTCAATTTTTTAGCTCTAAATTTAAAATCAGAGTTCTAAATTTTTTGATTTTTGAATCTAAAATTTTTAATTTGGAACCAAACAAACTGTGACCTAACCAAATAAATTCAATATAGTTCAAGTTAGGTTAGTGAAAAAACAGTTCCAGTATACTAAAATCAATCAATAATAAAATATTAGAATAAATAAGTTTTAATCATTTCTTTAAACATAACACAAATAATAAAGAATAATCCCATCAAAGTAATAATAATAAGAAGAATAAAGAATAAAATATAATCTTAAAAATTAATACAAACCAACAACTACAAACAATAACATGTTGTGTATATATCAAAAAGAATTATACAAAACAAAAAGAAGAAAATAAATAAATTATTATAGAAAAATTTAAATAAATTATTTAATTTCTAGTAATGAGTTGTTCAAATGAAAATACAAAATAATGAGTTGTCCAAATGAACATACAAAATAAAATCTAAATAACTCTTAACTTTTGTCTTATATTTATCATTAATTAAATGCAGTTGTGTTTGCCGTTTCCTTTTCTTTTCTTTTTTTTTTCGTTGTTGGTTTTACTTGGATTTTCAGTGAATTTTTTTTAAAAAAAAATTAAAAAGATTTAGACTTCTAAATTTTACGCAACAATACAATAAAAAATTTCAAAAAAATCTAGAAAAACAAAAATATGTCAAAAATAATTTTTGGCTTGTTTTGGCTTTTTCATTTTTTTTTTTTGTTGAAAATTTTCAATTTTTTTTTTTAATTTCTAAATTAGTCTACCCAAGACTGACTAAAAAAAAAAACTAATAATAATTTTTTTAAAAATCACTAATGACAATATATATATATATATATATATATTATTTGAGAATTCTCAAACAACCGATATTTATAGCAGAGCAATTACATAAAAATATATAAAATTTTATAAAATACATACAAGTCTCCATCTCAAGTTATTTCAATGAATTTAAAACTTATAATCGAATAAATGTATTAAAAAAATATTATGCTTGTTTGGTTTGCATTTTCAGAATTTACTTTTTAAAAAATTGAAATTTTTTATTTTATGTATTTTTTTGTTTTCATCAATTTTTTTAATTCTAAATAATTTTTTAATTTTTAGATACACCTAACATAAATATATTTAAAAAGTATAATATTTGTAAAAAAAATCTTTAGAAAATTCACTAAATACCAAAAATACAAAAAAAAAAGAAAAGAATTCAGTACATTTTTGGTATTCTTGTATATTTATTAATTTTTTAAAATATTTTTTTTACAAATATTTTACTTTTTAAATACAACACATAATGTAAACCTAAAAAAAGTAAAAAAATTACTTAAAATTTTAAAAATATTCACTAAAAACAAAAAAAAAAAATACAAAACATAGAAAAACTCAATTTCTAAAAAATTAAATTGAATTCATAAAATTAAAACCAAATACATGCTTATTATTCATGTTTAAGAGTTAGAATCAATTTTTAAATATAGTAATGTGCGAAAAAAAATTAATTGATAATTATTATCTAATTATCAACAAATCATTTTCTTAATACATCACATAATTTAAAGAGTGGGTTTAAAAAATAAATTTGTATACTATCATTTTTTATTAAAAGAATCAAATCAATTAATTTAAAATGATCAATTTAATTCGATTTTCCAATTTACTCAATATTTCATGCACCATTACCTCAAGTGTGAGTGGAATATCATAAACCTTCTGTTCATTAGGATAAAACAGACCATAATTTTTCTCCGACGTAGGCCCAGTTTTCTGATTCTCATTGAAAAGCGCAAACAAGAACACATTCAAAGTTTCATTGGGCTTCAATGGAGTCCCGTTCCCAGTAAGCACTCTCTTCACCAAATTCCCATTATACGCCGCCGCATTTGCCGGACTCGCACCAGCCTCATTCGCATCTCCTTTTGAAGGCCACCCAGTTTCAGAGATCACCATCTTCAGATCGCCGTAGTTTATCGAATTCAAAGCGGCAAAAACGGCGTCGATTTGAGCATCCAAGAGACTGTAGTATCGGAGACCACTGCCTGAGTCCACCACGCCTTGATTGTCCCGAAACAGAGCGTAGTCTAGAGAGATCACACCGGTGTTCGCTGTGTATGCGAAGAATGGGTATGCATTGACCATGAGGTATGAACTCGTTTTTTGAAGAAAATTGAGCATGGGTTTGATCACTGGTTCGATTAGGTCTTGTTTGAATGAGCCAGAGGAAGATGGGTATGAGGTTTGAAGAGCAGTGAGAGCGATTGGGGATGAGATTTTGATCGAATTCTGGAGATTTGATTTTGAAAGAGAAGAGTACATGTTGTTCATGGCTTGAACGAGGAATTTGGTGGTGTTGTTTGGATCGACGAAGACTTCGTTGCCAACGGCGATGGCTTCGATTTGGGTTTTGGGGAAGTAAGGGAGGATGTTGGATTGGACCCAAGTGTCAGTGTAGGATTGGGTGGAGGCGGCGGAGGAGAGGAGCTCGTTGGGGAGAGCGACGGTGACGGAGATGTTGGAATCGGCGAAAGCGGCAAGGACGGTTGAATCGGAGTCGTAGAGCTTGACTCGGTTGAGGCCTTGGGATTTGAGGAGTTGAACTACTTTGGATGGGTCTGGAAGGTCGTTTGCTATTCGGCCGTAGTTCACTGCGATTGAACCAGAAGCGGCGAATGAAGAGGGGATTGTCAGAGCGGAGAGAGAGAGGATGAGAGAGAGGAGGAGGAAGTTGAGAGGTGCCATGGTGAGAGAGAGAGAGAGAGATTGTGAAATGTTGTGTGTCTGTGTTGATATATATACTCTGTTTATATATATACTCTGTGGTGATATATATACTCTGTTTAGAGAGAGAGAGAGAGAGAGAGAGAGAGAGAGAGTGGAGAGAGTGGGGAGGGAGGAGGGGGGTGGGGTTGAATTGAGGGGGAAATGGTTAGTTGTGGTGGGACTTACTACTAGTTCTCAAAAATAAATAAGAAAATTATTAGTATGAAAAATAAATAACGAACAAAAATAAAGATATTAGACTAAACATGCAAGGCAATGTTTTTATATTAATTACTTAATTTATTTTTATTAGGGGAAATCACAATCCAGTGTAATTTAAAAAAAACAAAAAACAAATTCAACTTAACGGTAAATATTATACATTTTAATAATTAAATTCAAACACTTTTTCATTAATCTATAATTTATTTATTTTTACAATACCACTGTAGTGTACTTCCCTTTTTATTATCTTGGAATACATGTAATCTTTCTTTTTATCTATGTAATCTCTTCTACAAAATAAGTTCTAAAAAATTGTCAAGAATAAGTTTTTTTTTTAATTGAGAAAAAAAATGTCAGTCATCCGTCTAATTTTCAAATTCTTAACTCGTAATTTCTCGCATGAAAATAGCATGTACTTCTCTAATTTAGTGATTATCAATTGATTAAAATTTTTAGTATTAATCGCATATTTCTAAAAACATATAAGATTCATTGTCTTTATTTTCATAAGTAAAAACATTTCTAAAATATTAATTTATGTATAATATTATTCAATATTATAATTGTAACTATTTTAATTTTATTATATATCTTATCTTATATTTTATGTGGTCAAATTTCTACGTTTTGGTGAATAGCTTCCTTTCTTGCATGTGAATAGTTTGCTTTCGTGTCACATTTTCCCGTGTTCCTCTTCCTAGTTCATCCTAGTTCAACTACTCCTAGTCTACAGTGGGAAAAAAAAATTAAGTGACCAAAATAACCTAATAATCTAGACATAGTAAACAAAGTAAGTTTCTACCCTCACCCAACAATGAAAAAATTGTATATATATATAATAGGAAAATTATTCAATATTCTCGGAGCACCACGTATTCATATTCTAAACCAATCACTAATTAGTTAGTCCCACGTTGTTCTCTTATTCTCAACATAAATCGTGAGCTTTTGTGTCTCTTCACCAATCAAAATCTTATGGAGTACCATGTGTTCATATTCCGGGAGTGCTAAATAATCACCTTATATAATAAGTTATTTTGTGAAAGTCAAAATATTAAAAATACAAGAATAGTTCTTTAGGTTCTATACGGAAGTTATTTTACGTTTATCACAACATTGTTGTCTAATGTAGTTTTTTTTTTTGTTTTTCTCATGTTGTGTTTCTGTCGGTAATAGTATTTGTGTATCACTTTCTTCCATTAAAAGTAAGTTTTTTTAAGAAGTTTCAAAAAAATTGACACAGACACTTCAGAATAACATTTGAAGAACTTATGAGGATGTTGATATAGGCATTAAAAGAAATAACTCATTAATCGCCCAACAACATTTTTTGAAGTTTCAATAGAGTTTCTATAGGTATTGCAACAAGAAATAACCCATTAATTACTTATCCAACAACATTTGTGAAGAGGTTTTGAGGAAGTTGATATAGGTATTTCAAGAAATCATCCATTACTCATCCTTGGCAATTCGGTGAGTTTTTTCATTTTTATTTTTATTTCTTTTTAAATTTGTATCCATATGTAATAGTGTTTAGTAGAATTTTAGATGCAATTTGTTTGTTATTTTTATTTTTATTTTCAAATTTGAACATTTGTGTAATCAAATCATTAGTTTTTAACATTTCTTTCCATTTGTTTTACTTACTTTTTTTTTTTTTTTTTAAAAAAATTTAGTGCAAATCTCACTTCACTTGTATAGTTTGATTCATATGCAAATGACCCCATATTTTCAAAAGAAATGAGAAACTCATTAATTCAAATTTCTTTCTTGCTGATAAAAATATACGTATTTCTTTATTAAATTTTACAGTGTTAGAATATATATTATAATTTTTATTTTTATACTCGATAAACAAAGAATAATCATTGACTAGGAAATTATTGACCAGAGAAACTACTCACGTGTGACTAAATTAGGGTTATAAGCTCCTCCACTGATTACGTTGCATGATACGTGCCATCGAAGGAAACGGGCACAACTGTCCCTAATTACGTACACAATTAGCGACATTTATTATATTACTAACGGATTTTTTGATGCATGTCATAAAAATATGTATTGCCTTAAGTAATAGAAGAACTTTGACCGACGTTACGCTAACACCATACTCTTTTTGTTTTTAATTTTACGAGTCGATAATTACCGTTAAAATCTACCGTACTAAATGTATCCTTGTCAGATACATAATAAATGACTCGAATCTAGACGTTAAAGCATTCAATTAACCATATCTCTTCAAAGTTCATGCCGCTTAACCGAGAAAGTATTTAGGGTAGCAGGTATATCAAGTGACATGGTGTCCCATTCCACATAAAATAAAACACGTGTAAAAAAAATGAGACATGTAATAAAAGCTTTACTTTACTTTATTTATTTCTTCCGATTTTCTTTACTTTATTTATTTGTATTTATTTATATTTATACCACAAATTTCAATTTATCTGTATAGTTTGATTCATGTGCGAATGACCCATTATTTTCAAATAAAAATAGAAACTTATTAAAATACAAATTTCTTCTTTAGGGAAACAGTATAGTACACACCTTTTAAAGGTGTATGTCATATGCACCTTATAATTAAAAAAAAAAAAAACATAATTTCATACTTTTTGATTCATAACTAAAAAAAAATATTATAACTAAACATAACATGGGACATAATTAAAAAACTCATGAGTCATAATTAAAGAAGAAAATTGATCATAACTAAAAAAAAACATAGCATACCTAGTAGTGCATAGAGTGCATTCGTTTCAAAGATGTATCTGTTAGAATTTTCCATATCTTTATTACATTTTTTATGTTGTTATAGTACTAAAACAAAAATAAAAATATATAATAATTTTTATTTTTATAATTAGTAAAAGAAAAATAATTATTGACTAGGAAATTATCGACGAGAGCAACTACTCACGTGTGACCAAATTAGGGTCATGAGCTTCTCCACTAATTACATTACATGATAACGTGCCATTAAAGAGAACTAGTGCGGTCATTTCTAATTGCGTACATAGTTAGCGACATCTATTATATTACTAACTGACTTTTTGGTACATGTCATAAAAACATGTATTGACTTACAACATTACGCCGATATCGTATTTTTTCTGTTTTTAATTTTATGAGTTGATAATTACCGTTAAACCTACCGTACTAAAAGTATTCTTGTTAGATACATAGTAATTGACTCAAATCCAAATGTCAATGCATTTAGCTAATCTAATCTCTTCAAAGTTAATGCAACTTACCTAAACCCATTAGAACGTTAATAATGATTAACAGGTGAAATAAGAAATTTACTTTGATTTTTTCCATTTTTCACCACCAATTCGAACGTTGGGCTAGCCAGCTATGATATTGTTTGATAGCAAAATAGCAAAGTATCAAAGTCTGTACTTGTGGGGTCCATCCATTCTAGTACTAAATGAACACTATAATTGTTGTTGTGGTGGTGGTGGCTAACGGATCTATAAGATTCACACTAGGAAGCTGTGTATGTTGTCTACATTTGCGGCCTATGAAAATCAATCATACAATCCAACATTCCACAATGTTTTGTTCATGCTGTGTACGTTTCAATGTTTGTATGCCTAACGTCTTAATTTTGTCAACGATTTCATATGTGATATGATATGAAAGTGAATTTAGTCGGATTGGGTGTTATTTGGTTTGGCAAAATTATCTTCTCTAGATTTTGAAAGTTTTTGTCCCATTTGAGATTTTTGTATATAAATGAAGGGACTAATTTCTCTTCAATCTAGTTCAATGCACTATGCGTTCACCTTAGGCTTACATTGATAATTCAAATCGTTTATTTTATAAGACTTGTCAAATATATTATTGATATAAAAAATACAAAAATGATTGAGAGCTCTAATTGTGATGGGTCCCACTGTGATGTGATGCTTTGTGCTAGTTTCTTTTTTTTTTCCAACAATGATTGGTAGCTTTAAAAATAGAATTCTATTGAGCTAGCAGCTCAAAGAGGAAAAAATAAAAATAAAAAAATATATATATATCACATCACAGTGGAGCTCAACCCCATTAAGGCTATTAGAGTTCATAAATTAGAGTTCCAAAACATTTTTGTTTTGTTTTTTTTGCTTTGCCACATAAGTAGAGCTCTCTTTAAAACTCTTATGTTAGAACTCTGTATTATCACTTTAAAAAATAAGATTGACTGGGACAGTAATTACTTGATTAAATCATATTTGTCTGAAAAAATAAATGAATTGTACGGTTTTGAAGATAGTGTAATTTTTTTATTTATTTATAACAAATGTGATCTAATCAAAGGATTATCAATATTTAATTAACCTGAAATGGGCCCAGATTGGATCGACCGAAGAGGAGCTACTATCATAAATAAATCATACTTAAATACATTTTGACGTATGTTAATTCTGTAAACTTGAATCAATAAACATAAATGTATTATAAAAAGACAATTTGACTTTCATTCAATTAAAATATTATTTAAAATTCACTCAAAACCTAAACAAGTTAAACTTAAACACATTTAATTTCATATTTTTGTTATTGAAATTAGAAAAAAAAAAACAAAAAATTATATTTGAACTTATTTGTCAAATTATTTTTTAATAGAGTCCGGCTATGAACATCCATTGTTAAGAACATTTTAAATTTACGTTCTTATCATTTGTAATATTCAAGTTCACTTCGGATTCACAGATGGCTTTGGCAACCAATTTAAAATTTTTGAAAATTATTTTCACACAAAAAATATAAGTTTT